GGGCACAAGGGGTGAAGGGAGACATATATATGGTGATGGACAAACAAAAATGTACAACCCAAAATTTCACAATGTTAAAAACTATTAAAACATCAATTAAAAAAAGAAAGAGAGAAATAAAATAAACAAAAAAAAAAGCTACCAGGTTCCTGACCTTCAATAAATCACACAAGCTCTTAGAATCACGAGGGATAAAATAAAATAAAATAAAATAAGATAATAAATTAATTAAAATAATACATTAAAATGAAGAAATAAAAAAACAATATAACAAATCTAAAAAACCGTATTTGTCATTTCTTTCCTTCAGTCTTGTAGTCATTCTCAACATTTTTATTGAGATACTTTGATATGCTAAGAAAGCATACAAAGTTCCATAGCTCCAGGATCCATGACCCTCTAGAATTTTTTCCATAACCACCAACCATACCTTCAGTGCCCAGTGCCATCTCCCAGACTCCAAAAAGACAGAATGTTCAGTTTTGAGAAACAATGAGATAAAGCAAATGACTGGAATACCTTCAGTAGATTTTGTTAAATTTTCAGTTTGGTTCTGGTTAGCGAACTCCTTGACATCCACAAAACTCTCTGATTTTGGAAGATTAAGTGTGTCCGAGGATTCCTGTTCTGAAACTTTATTTGGCTGAGAATCTAGAAAACCGAAAACAAATATTATAAAGTGATATTCTGGACAATGACACAATGACTACTAATGTTTGTATTCGTATTTACAATGAACAAGGTGCTTCCCCCCCCATGCCCCCCTTTAGAAAGACTAAATAGAAGAAAGCCATTAAGAGGCAGAGATTATTCATTATATGATGCAATGTTCGCCGTTAACAAACAGGACAGTATCTGCAAGGCTCACACTCCCTAGGAGCTAGTTGGTTCTTTCCGGGCCTTATAACCACATAGTAGTTGTTACCTTGTTGGGTTATGAAGCAGAGACCATGTAACTTGGTCTGCTTTTATCTGGCAAGAGTAACTGAGATGGGATTTTAAAAAAAAGTTTCCAATTTTAAATCCATTCCTTACTATGAAAATGTAGCTCTTTATTAAAATGTATCTCTAAGAAATCAGTGCAATATGAAACAAATTTTAAATAAATATATCAAAGACCGGGGATGCAAATACATTTCAACTTGCGTGTGTGCCAACCCTGGCTGAATGGTGGTGGCTGCCTGGAGGACTGTGCTGAACAACTGTGGCTTCACCTGCTTTCAAGGGGAGAGTAGGCTTGATTGATGAGTGTTGTCTGCCCAGGGCGTGGCAGGCAGCACAAGAACCATCAGCCTTCATCCCTCATTCCTCTCCATCACATTTACAAGTCATTGTTCCAGACTTAATCTTTGCTTGGCAAACTCTGTGGTAATTAGATGTTTTCTTTGGCTGTGCTCATTCCAGGCAGCTGAGCTTCTGGTATTGCTTTGTACAGTACAAAATTCCTCTCTTTGGGTATTTTAAATACCCAGTTTAGTAAAGAGAAGCACTAAATTTCATTTCACTCCTAAATTCTTCAACTTGAATCTCCTGAAATGAAATCATTCTCCTACAAATCCACAACACCATCATCACACCCAAGAAAACTTACACTAATTCCACAATGCTCTCTAATACAGAGTCCCCAGTCAAACTTGGGCAGTTGCTCCTAAATATCTTTCATAGCTGTTTTTTTTCTCAATCCAGCATCCAAAGTTTATGTATTGCATATCATTTTTATGCCTCTTTTAACGTAGAACAATCACCCCCTCTTTTTTCTTTTAATGACATTAACTTTTTTTAAGAGTTCAGGCCAGTTGTCTTATAAAATGTGTACATTCTGGATTTTTCTGATTTTTTCCTCTTGGTTAAATTCAGGTTAAGGATTTTTGGCAAGAATTCTACACAGCCCCTAGGCACTTCATATTGCATTAGATGAGAAAGCGCCTAATTCTAACTTGCTTCACAATTAAGTAGAAGTGTGGTCACTTGGCTAAGGTGGAAAATGCCATCTCTGTCCACTGTAAAGGTATGTTTCCTCCTTATAATTAGGAGGTAGTATGTGAGGTGATACTTTTAGACCATGTGAATGCCCTGTTCTGAAGTCAACAACCTTTCATTGCTCCCTTGATTTTTAAATTAGTGAGATCTTCTTAATGCTTTTAGGTAAATTTTAAGCATACAGGATAAAAACTAAATTTTATTTACATCTTGGTTTCCTCATATAACTCAGTCAAATCTGTAATACACAGGTCACAGAAGGTTATGCTATTAGCTATTCCTGAGATAAAAGGTAGTAGGAACTAGTTATGTTCTAAGAGGCAATATTAGGTATTTTTCACTTAAGAAGCACATAACAGGAACAAGAGCTACACGAACACATTACCTGGCTGAAGATTGGATGTAGTTTGAACAGCTGTTTTGTTTGCATCTTCATCTTTCTTTGTGAAAGGAGGCAACTTTTTGGAAAGGGTGTCTAGATAATTAAACTTAAAGGAAAAAACAAAAGACTTATTTTAGACTTATGCATGGCTGACAGGTAACTGCCACCAGCATGTTAAGTTGATGAACAATGATGAAAGCATATTTTTTAAGGCCCTGAAAATAAAGTTTGCATCTAAAAGTTTTTCAAGAGATGGATTAACTCAATTCTAGATTTTGTTAATTAGTTATAATTTCCTATAATTTTTTTCTCAGGCAGCCTCTGGTTAATAATAGCATCTGGAATTGTCACAGAAGTCAGGGAGTTCTGAACACATGCAAATATTCACTTTGCTTGAGAGTTTCGAGGTTTCACAGAAGAGAGGAGTGTTGTGCCTCCGTGGGCTTCCAAGAACTCACAATATCCTAGTGCTGTCAGCAGCTTTTGGGGCGGGGGGGAATTTTAAAGGAATAAAAACCTCAAAATGGGATGTATCAGAGGATAATCAATAGGGAGAATTTGACCCAAAAAAAGGGCTTAAAATAGATGGGAGAGGGTAATTAATTGTGATAATGCGAGGCAGGGAGGTGGAGTGGTAGTAATACATTGGCAGAGAACTAAGGTGCAAAACCTGGAATTAGTCTTCTCTCTCATATGCCTGTAAGGACATGGACGTGAAGGGTATGAGTAGTCAGTCAGGTTGATGTAGGAAAGAAACAAGAGGGTAAGTAGGTTACATAATAACATCTGCATTGTATCAACTTTTTATGAAGACTCTTATTCTATTGTTGTTAATGACATTCAATTACCTGAGACTGATATAACGTGCTCAATTCTGATTTGAAGTAGGGAGATAATACTCTGTTCCGAATTTCCGTTAGATAATTCTGTGTTTTTTCAATTTCCTTCCTGGTTGATATTTCCATAATGGTGCAAAAGAAGACATAAAATATTTTAAAATGTTATTTACTTGTGTTTTAGCTCTAAATCCTATAGAATATGGGGTCACTAACAGTAAAACTGATAAGAATTACTCATCAGACACTTTTTTGTCAACTTGTTTTGGTTCATTTTCTGTTTCTTTTAGAATCAGTCACATTTCCTACTTCAGAAATCAGACTTTCGTATAAGATAGGAAATAATGATACCAGGTGGTAGTTGGGTTTTATAGTTGATCTCAAAAGACAAAAAACCACATGGTTGACCTTTCTGCGTGTCTTTCACTTCTCTAAGGTTTAAATGCCAGCTAGATTTTACTGATTTCCATAATTTCAGTAGCAGTGGTAAACAAACAAACAAACAACAAAAACTAAAACCTGAGGAATAATTTATGAATAATGTGATCAGTGATTACAAAGTAAATTAAAAGCAATGATAATCCTGCTAGTTGTTCCAATATCAGAACCTTATATTGGGGAGGCAATATTCCAGCTAAAACTATACTTCCCAGCCTTCCCTGTATATAGGGATGAGCAAAGAGAAGTAAACTGAAGTCACTGGGTAATACTCCAGATAGTTTTTAAAGAAGGCCAACTCAGCTGGGAGGCTTTTCCTTGGTCATTGCCTCATCTCTTTTCCTACTTCCTGAAAAATGGATGAAATGGCTGTAGCAGCAGCAGTCATTTTGCAACCACGAATCAACTTTGAGGCTGGAAATCATGTACTAACAATGATGGAACAGATAAAAAGAAGGAATCCGAATTCCTAATGATGTCGTGGCACTGCCTACCATGGACTGCCCACTTCTGACTTCTTTTACATTAGGAAAAATAAACCTCTTTCTTGTAAAAGCGCTGATTGGGGGTTGTCTGTTACATACAGCTTAACCTAACCCTATCTGAAATAGTTTTCATTTTTAAGTGCTTATTGCATGCTAGGAGCTTTGCAGAGTACTTTACATTTAACGTTACAATAACTCTATGAGTTACTATTATTATGCCCATTTTATTGGTCAAAAAAATCAAGGTGTAGAGAAGTTAAGTAACCCACCCTAAATCACATAACTAGTAAGAGGCGAAGTCTGAATTAAAACCCAGGTTGCATGCCTCCAAGCCCACGATCTTGATATGTGCACTTGCTAATCAGCTGTTAGTCACCCAATGTGGGAGCTGAAAGGGACCTTAGGTATAAGGGGTCCAGTCATCCTCGTTTTATAGATAAGCAAATTGAATTCCTGAAGTAAATTTTACAGGCATAAAACAAGCAGCCGGCATCATCCAGTCTGTAAGTAATCTGCTTGGAACGGACCCTAGGGCTGCTGGCTCTGAGACCAGTGCTCTTTCTCTTGTACGAGACGGCCTCTCTAGACATGTTGGCTGAATCAAAATATCATTTTATCTAAATAACTTGAATTTATCATTAATATATCTTATCTCTACTGCCTCACCAGATTCATTCATCAATCTATGGCAGTCTGGCTACTGCCTATCATTCTCTTAAAACTGTTCTCAGAAAGGAAGTTAATAAACTTTCCAACTGATAAACCCAAATCTCTCTTTTCACTCTCCTTCCTGAGTCTTCCACAGCATCTGATATTTGTTGACCCCCTTCCATTCCCTTGAAACTTTCTCCTTCCTTAACCCTCCTCCCCAATCCATTTTCCACGTTGCCAACACTTCTCTTTCTATGACACAAATCTAATTATGTATTTCAATTTCTTCTTCAAAAACTTTCCTTGGCTTGCCATTACCTACCTATAGGTTAAAATTTGAAATAGTTAACGTTTCAAAATTTTTAAAAATGTGAATGGATAACAGGTACACATGTACATACTTCAAAAAGTATTAAACAGTACGTAATAAAAAGGAAGTCTCCATCCCATGCTGTCCCCTAACCTCTCTATCTCTTTCCCTACAGGCAATCACTGTCACCAGTCTCTTGGAAATCCTTACAGAGATATTCCATGAGACAGTATGCATCTTCTAGCTTGACCTTATATATAGGGGTGGTGCCTGAGACTTAAGGTCTTATCTCACCACTTCTCCAACGCATTCCACAAGGTAACCCAGACATTTTTATTAAGATGCATATTCATCCTGGGAGTCATTCTGGAGAGGAGCCATGCAAATGTGTACAACAGTACCATATGTGCTACTATATACTCAATAAATATATCTGGCTTCCTTTCTTTATGTCAAGAGAGCTGGGGTTGGAATCCTCTGCTAGGATTGAAAGAAAACCAAAGCACATAACGCTTAGAGCACATTCTTCATGTGAATTATAAAAATCCTTGAATGTTTATGACTATCCTCTGCATTAAGTTCTAGAATATTTGTTAGTATATTAGCATTACCAAAGCACAGAGAGTACCTGAGAACTTTTTTGCTTATAAGAGGGAGAGAATCTACTTGATGGTCAAATGGGCTTCCTTAAGACATAATGACCTCATCACACAAAAGCTGAATGACCACATGGCAGAAATGTAGAAGAGGTTCAATAATAGCAGGGACCCTGGATGGTAGGACCTTTCAATCTATCCCACTCTAAAAATCTATGATTCCCAAAACTGGGCCTTTTCACATGCGTGTGTATTCTTCAGGATAGAATTACCTCTTTTTATCTAACTTTTCTTTCCAGCGCTTTCCTTCTGCTGTGTGCCTGTGCAAAAGGAAAGTATGATGAAAAAGTGCAATGCTCTCAGCTTGCAAACAATACAAGAAAAACCACCACTGTATGATAATTTCTTAACATTGACGTTGTCACCCGTAGTTATGACACCCGCATCTCTCCATTTCAATTATTGCATGCTTGATACTAATTGGAACATGTTATTGGATCAGCTTACCACCATCTCTTTTCCAAGAAATCTGTACCAAATGTTTCTGGTGGACGTTCTGGAGCAATAGCCAAAGATTGCTTGAATAAATCGATTAAGTGGGCTGCAACTTTAAAAATAAATACATTTAAACTTTTATCCTCATTTCTTTACAGCACAACACACAACCAGTACCCAATTACTCATTTGAGATATTTTCTAAGAGCCTTATATCTAATATATCAAGTGTTTACTAGAATTTCCATGACCAAGCTGTATTATAACAGTAAATCAGACAACTTTCACGAAACATCCTACTAGAAAACACACATCGTATAGTCAAAATGTAAAATGTAGTGACACCTCATTTGTCCCACATCATTAGGGCAATCAGTGTTCTAGCTAACTGAATTTCTTCATATCTGAAGCACCAAAACTTAAAAAAAAATTAACTATTTTATTGAAATTGTTTTCCTAAAAAAATATGAATCTAAGGATCTGAATATAATACAATGATTGTTGGATAATTTCGGCAGTGATTCTCACAGTTTATTCCATAAAACATGGTCTTGGTGGGGTGTTAACAGAAGATTAAAAAATGAGAAAAATTTCCTGTTGCATGTTTATATGAGCTTGAGAAACACTGATTTATACAAGGTTAAATATGTTTTGTTACTGTAGGACTTTTCTGCACCCTTCATTAGTTAATGTGGCTCTCTCAGAAAATAAGGCAATATGCAGAATTATCCAAACTTACTTTATCATAAAACTCATTTTTGGTGGAGCCATTTCATAGACCAGTGTTTAGGAAATACTTTGGGGAACGCTGACTTAGGATCACCACTGTTAGTATGCCAGGGGCAGCTGTAAGCATGCAGGATCCTGCTTGACTCCTGCATCTGTTTGTTTGCTTATATGTTTGAAAAATATGTTTACCTTGTCCTTCACTATTGGGCAACCTGCACATTTACATCTATGGTGACTGTTCCCTCATGCCAGAGGTTACAAATTCAAATGCGACAAGGTAGGGTTACCACACAAAGTACAGGGCATCCAGTTACATTTGAATTTCAGATAAACGACAAGTAATTTTCTTTTAGTATAACATGGGACAGACTTATACTAAAAAAAAATTACTTGTCGTTTATCTGAAATTCAAATGTAACTGGGCCTTCTCTATTTTTATTTGCTAAATCTGGCAACCCTAATATAAGAGGCTGCCCATAAAACAGTGACAACACGGTGTAAGGACAGGGAGACACTGGGGGTTGTGATGGAGTCTTTTGTTCATGGTCATTCTAAAGGGGCAGCTGCTAATCTTCTTCAGCCAAATGTCACTATATGGTAATGTGACATTTCAAGAAAAGAAAAATTCAGATAAACTAAAACAACAGAAACAACTGTGCAAGTCAACATTGTGGGGGACACACAAAACACATCTGTGGGCTGAATGAAGCCCATGGCTGCCAGTTTCTGACCTTTGTCATATGGCTAAAATAGAAAAGAAAAGAAAAGAAAATCCCAAACCACCAAATTCTCCACTGCTTGTCTACTATGAACTATGAAACCACATAACCAAGTTTGGTGGGGCTGCATATATCCCCAAATAAATATGCTTTGATTGAGGATATCTTCCAAGGTAGACGGCTTGAGCTACATATAGTATAAAACAGTGTAGCAGCTCACAAGTTCTGTGTGCGTGTGCATCTGTGTGTGTGTGTGTCTGTATGTGTGTGCTGAGGGAGAGTGTTGCTTGGTTGTTTCCTTCCTGTATCTTAGCTATGTTCTAAATACAGGTTGAGGTTAACATAAAATGTCAACTTTTAAATCAAATGTCAACTTTTCATTCAACAGATGAAAGTTAAAGATGAATCAGAGGCAATTACAGTTTTTAAGGATCTCACAATTTAGGCAGAAAAAATGTATAAATAAATCATTACAATACATCATGGCCAATATGACAACAGAAATATGTACAGGGTACTTTGCTATCAGGTGAGAGAATGACTGAGAAGTATATTTAAGATTGTTCTTTTGAAATCTGTAAATATTTTGCAGAAAATATTAAGCGTATTTACCTTCAGTAGCATGACTTTTTGTAGTTTCTTCCATTTTAGGAAAAGACTGAAATGAAGATAGAATTCCTTAACGATGATGATTATATTAAATACAAAATTGACTTTGTTTAGAAGCATTCTTTATGTGCTCAAATTGATCTTTTAGGGAAATTACTACAAGATGAATTAGTTTTTTAATGCCAATACAAAATTTATTTGATTTTTCGTAGTCATTCCTTTCACTTAACAAATTTCTGAAAATGGAAATCATTTTAAGTTGTAGAATTCCTTTTTCTTCCTCCTTCCTATTTCATTCATTAATTCATTCACCATTTCAATGAATGTCACTTTCTCTGAAGACCACATAAAGTTCTATTTAAGAGCCTTCAGGATTATTTTTGACTTAGGGAAGAGCCTAAAAAGAATTTGGAAAATTCAACATAGAAGGAATAAGATTTCCACAGAAATAAGAAATTATAAGGAGGGAGCAAATGCTTCATATAAGTGGCAGAAACAACTATTATTTATAACATTTTGTCTTGAAGCATCTAATATTGAAACAATAATAAAAACATTGGGATATAAAACATTTTTTTCCCACCATAACGAGCTTGAGGAGATCTGCAGCGTTGCCTCTCTCCTCCTCAGTTCTGGAATCTTTCACTGTCATTTCTTGTAGCTCATCTTCTTTCTTTAGAATATGGTTTATATAATCCTAAATCAGCAGAATAAAATAAATCAATAAAAACTGAAATAAAGTAGTGAGAGACATCAAAATAGTCAACATCAACTTGAAATATTACAAAAAGATGAAGAATATGTAAGTTCACAATGCTCAACAACCAGTTACTGGTCAAGGAATCTGGAAAGCCCTTTCCTTAAAATGTTAATAAGCAAAGACCTGAAAAGTCCACAAGCAAAGCTTTCAAGGTCACAGGATAATAGAAGTGTATGAGGACTGCAGAGAGGCCGGCTTCTTGTTCTGTGCTCCAGTGTCATCATCAATAAAATGGACAGAGTTGGGTTAGATGATTTCTTGAGTCCTTTCCAGGGATAGTCTTTATGATTCTATCTACGAACATAAGTTGCTTAGTCCATGACTTTGCTTCCAAGAGAAATATACTTTACTGCCTCTGTAAATATTTGATCCATTTCCATAAATAATGGTCCCCTGCTCTATGCCAGGTGCTGGGTATATAACCATAAACAAAACACATATAATCCCTATTCTGATGGAGTTAACAAACTAGACAGCGAGATGTTATAGATATGCTCATACAATTAACTGTATATTTCAAATTCTTAGACCATTTCCCAAAACCAACAATCCTTTTCTTCCATGGACAAGTATCAGATTAATATGCAGTTCTACTTTTTTCCAGAAGTCTCTAGACCAGTTTTCCATATAGTAGAAAGAAGGAGGACTTTATCTAACAATCACATATAAAAGTTACTTATCTTCTTAATGTCTTGGAGGGCCTCAATACTTCCTATACCTTGTGGGAACCATTAAGTATGTTCTACCTGTCAACCTCCTACCCTCTGGAAGATTGACATTCATGTATTGCATTAGATAAATATTGGTAGAATTACATAATTTCAGGTTCCTCAGGAAACCAAGAGGAATGATTGCTCTGTTCCTGATTCTTTTGGGTCAGATTTCCTGGATTCCATTACCTTAAGGGAAATCTGAAGCTTCAGTTTCACCTCATCCTTTATGACCTCATGCTGGATGAACTGGCGTATCTGTAACACTTCTGGGCTCTTGAGTATAGGGGCTGGGGCACTCGCTAGCTGTTTGGGCTCAGTGTTAAAGCTCTTCCAAATCTGAGTGCCAAAGGGAGGTCCTGGAGTTTTTTTCTGTTAACAAAAGAAAGCAAAACAATCACCAAAGAAATCAGAATGTTTTAATATAAGAATTGTTCTTTTTTTTTTTTTTTTTTTTACTGAGTACTTATTATGTAGCTGCTATGCTAGGAACCACTTGTTAGGCAATACAACAGTGGAAAAAAAATGATCCCTGCTCTCGAAAAGTTTTGCAAATATAAGGAAAATTGGGAACAGAACTGGGCAAGCTTTCCTCTTTATATTTGTTACCAAGAATCTGTATATTTTAAAACGCTGTTGCATGATGTCCCACTGGATAGCATTTAGTGGAGGGCTAAGCAATGCTGTGCCACGGTAATGCAGTAGCAGCAGCCTTGTTTACGCCAAATGCATGTGACTATTCCTTAAAACACACAGGCAGCCTAAGAGACTTGGAATTAAGCAGTCTTTAACTTTCTGGTTCCATATGCATTTTGACCTAGAGAGATTCTTTGGGAGAGAAATCATCCCATAGATCTGGGTGGTCTTTGAGCTCACTCTAGATTAAGCATGCCTCCAGATCTTCCCAGGATCTCTTGGGCAGAAATATCTGCCTTAGAGTAGACTCACATCTCTACATTATCCTTGTAATTGATTTTCAGGAGTGGTGTGCTTTGATGCCTTATGTCCTGAAGTGTGTCTGATGTGCTGCATTTTCAATTGTTATTCAGTGTCCAAGGCCTGGTCAATGATAACCACTCGGGGCCTTGCCTGGGCTGAGCCACTTCTACCGGGCATAGAGGGTCAGAGCATAGGAGTTTCAGAGGAAGAGAATGAAATTCCTTCATTAATCTCAGATGTGGCATATTATTTGTCATAACACAGTACTTTCAACTTGGATATAGCCTCAGTGAGCCATTTGGTGTGGCCTTTTCATTTTTCAGATAAGGAAGTAGAGGTCCAGTGTGACTAGTCCCAAATCCCACAATAATAATCGATAGAGTCAGGACTAGAATTTAGATAACCTTCACTCATCATGTTGATTATAGTCACCAAATTAAAATACAGGGCTAGGAGGTCTTTGTCATCTGAAGTGTTCATTGTTTGTGCCTCTACTATTACAAGACTGTAGGGAAGCAAAAATCATCATAACTCAAAAACATTATCCTCTTCACTTAACACTAGTATCCCTCTCTGATCATATCATCAATGTCTTCACTGATTTAATAATTTAATGTCTGACAATATGCTGGACATATTATATAACTTGCTTGCAAAATGAAATGGCAAATCTTGAAAGATGAAAGATTTCACAATTCTTGCTCAAGATATTTTCTTTCATTATTTAAAAAAACTTTAGGTGGGGGTTCCTAATCTGACATAATTACAATGTTTACTTTTTAACATTGTAGTTGCAAATCTCTGCGTATAATCCTTCATTATTCATCATATTCATTATAAATCCTTATTCTTATATACTCAGTTTGTGCATTAATAAATTAAGGAAAAAAGAAGAGTGAAAGACCAAAAATTGTGTCTTGAAACTAACAAGTAAGAAATGAGAGAAAGGAATATTTCTGTATCGCATAATATCAGTAATTCCATGGCAGGAGAGGTGTAACATGGGTCACTCAGAGTGGATATTTTCATATTATAGGAAGATGTTCAAGACTGCAATGCAGGGTAAAAGAAAGAGAACTGAGATTAGCTAGTCAGGTGTATTTCTCTAAATCTACAAATGTTAAAATCTTCAAATATAAAACTCCTTGAGCCCATTAACAATTTACATATGAATGAAAATGTGAATATATGGGAGAAGACCTGAGACTCTGGTCCATTGACTGATGGATATGCAAATATACTGACTTTTCAGCAGAAAAATTTATACCTCAACTGAGGGAAATTTCTCCCATGATCTTGACTGGAGATTGGGAGGAACAATTGTATCTAATTCTTTCTTCATTAGCCATGGTGATGCTTCATGACAAGGGCGAAGGACAGTGATGCTCAGGGCACCTAGTTCAAAGGGAGTTATCAGAGGATCATTTCTCCATCAAAAATATTCTGAGAAATTCAGTAAGTATTCACTAAATTCAACAAACATTTTTTGATAAGTGAGACACAGTGATTATGCTTAAGGACATTACAATCTAACAAGAAAAGTGAGGCTTTTAGTCACTGTAACACCTGGAGACTGAATTTAGGTCACCTGAAATTATTAACCAACAACTCTCTGTCCTTCAACAACCACATGCAAGTCCTGTCAGTTCTACCACTAAGCATTTCTTGAGTTCATCTACTTCCTCCCTCTCCACTGCCCTCCCTGAGATCATTTGCCTCAGAGACATCCTGTTCTGGACTACAGAAACAACTACCTTTTTTACACATATCTGCTCTGTGGATGAACCTCCCCCAGCCGTCAGGGTGCCTGAGTATGTTCATCCGTGATTTCAACTCTTCTTTGACTTCCCATTGCTCACAGGATAAAACTGAAGACAACATTTTCTCACCCCTGACTCAACTAGCACCATTTTCCTTTCTGTGCTTAGGCTGCATTGGCCTTTTTTCCCATTCTACAATGCTTTATGCTTCCTGCTTTGTGTTCTCCTTTCCAAGAGAGCTTTCCCTCCTAGTTCAATTAACTCCTACTTATCCACTAACTCTTGGCTCCAGGGTCTTCAGGGAAGCCTTCCAGACTACATCAGGTTCCTCTGTTAGATGCTCTCATAGAGCCATATTCCTTTCCTTCATAGACCTTATCTCAATTTATAATCATAAATTGTGTGACTATAGAATTAATGCCTATCTCTCTCATTAAACTCTAAGCTCTATAAAAGCAGGGTCCATGTTGTCTTAGCTCACCATTGTATTCCTAACAACACCTAGCCAGTATTTGGCACATGGTGGGTTATCAAGTAGATGCTAGTTAAATGATTGGCTAACAAAGCAATTTGAGATGAATTCTTATTCTCCTGTAGTTCCACATATGCACTGCACAAGCAGTCAGAGTGCCTCCCTCTCCATATTCACAGATAAAGAGCAAGGTTTAGTATAGCACATCATGCACATGTGCACTGATACACTAAAAGATATAAGTGCACAGAAATGCAGGCATATTCATAAAGGAGCACAAAATATATCCCACCAACCAGAGAAAAGATAAAAAAGAAACACACACATGAACCTAGACATATTGGTTTGGTATACAGATAACATGCAAGTTTATATCTATGTTTAAATACACATAATTCACACAGTGTTGGTTCTGATTTAATACAATATGTGCCTCTAACCTTTAGTCACACACTGATTTCTTTGAAATTGATGAAAATAATATAAATGACCAATGATCATGGCATAGAACTTATACTATATTTCAGGTTGGCTTTCTAACTCACACATCAAATGTACTTTCTTTTCTTATTATATTAAATTCATCAAGGCAACACCTTCAAAATGACAAAAAATAAATTTACAAGAGATATCTTACTTTTCTTTGTTTTTTCCTACCAAGATGAAATGAACACATAAATAGGAACCTAGGTACATACCTAATGTACCTAAACATAGATACAAATCTGCTTATAGGTAGAAGAGGAACTAACACACAGTTTACATAGGTTGATGCTCAGATAAAGTTTGGTATGAACATAAATAACTGTACACGTAGGTTGACATGGCCAAGGGGAAAGTAGAGCTGAAAAGTGAGCAAATGGAAAAAAGAAGAGATGGCACTGGGGTGCACTGGATAGGAGGATGAGAGTTGGTGAAGGGATACAGTGAGTGTCAGATAGTCTGGGTTCTCTACCCGGCTGTTCTTGTACTGGTTCCTGAAGAACTACAGTGGTTGATTCTCCATATGCCAAGGATAGGTATTCTTCTATGTCACTGTCTCGAAGAAGTTCTATTCCTGACCCATCGGCATAGATAACAAAAAACCTATTTGAAGAAATAAAAATCTAATCACTTCGAGTATTCAGTTACAATGCTCCTTGAACTTGGAATTAAAAGTAAAAGTCATGATGGGGCTGGCCCGGTGGCGCAAGCAGTTGGGTGAGCGTGCTCCTCTTCGGTGGCCCAGGGTTTGCAGGTTCAGATCCCGGGCGTGCACGCACACACTGCTTGTCAAGCCACGCTCTGGCGGCATCCCATATAAAGTAGAGGAGGATGGGCACGGATGTTAGCTCAGGGTCAATCTTCCTCAGCAAAAACAGGAGGATTGGCAACGGATGTTAACTCAGGGCTGATCTTCCTCACATACACACACACACAAAAAAGTAAAAGTCATGGTATTATTTTCATCATTTTACCTGGGGACATGTTCACCATAGATTTGCAGATGATTTTTATGAAGGTGAATAGATGATAAAGTATCATAGCCTTCAGTTTTTGAATTTAGATCATCTTCCAAGCTGTTTTCAGGTAGCAGAGTTGATGTGCTACCATCAGCCATGACCTAAGGGACAAAGTATATTAGCAACTAAACGAAAAAAAATGCCATAGAGCTTACATTTCTGCTGATCCCTTTTGAGAAAGCAGGTGATCTTTTGGTATATTCAGAAAATCGGGGATATTTATTTGTAAAGTATTGTTCACTAAGTATAGATTGCTTTAATAAAAGTGAAAATCTAGTAGCACGTCTCCACTCACAAATCAAACTTAGACTATGAAGACAAACTGGAAGGCAAATACAGAATACATTCCTTCCTCAGAATACATTCAGAGGAAGGTGACTAGGGTGGCACGGGACTCAAAAACCTTATCTTCTGAGGATTAGTTCAAGGAACTGGGAATTTAAACACGGAGGAATGGCTACTCATGTCATAGTTATCTTGAAATATTAAAAGAGTGATAGTATGGAAGAGGTTTATATTCTGTGATTCCATGAATAGACTACATACAGAAACAGATTTTAGCACTAATGTGAGAAGAAATGTTTTAGCCATTGCTACTCTCTAGATGTGGCATGAGTCTCTCCAGGAAGGAGTGTGGTTTGGGTTGAAAGACTGCTGAAGGGGATGCCCAAAAAGAGCATCAATGTCTAGAAGAATGCTTGGCTTGGATGACCCATGTGTTCCACCCTAGAGGGTTTGGGGCTTTAAATTTCAATGTCAATTCAATGTAAATTGAAATTTGTTAGCAGCATGAACTCATGCTGTGAAGAGTCTCATTTACCTAGCACTGAAAAAGTGAGCTGGATCGGAGCTCGTCTGCATATCAAAACGAAGTTGGATACTCAAAACAAAGTATGGTTCCAAATCTAAAAAATAATTTCACCACCAGCTAGCTGATACATGAAATTCCACTGTTGAGTGAGGAGTGAAAAAAAAGATAAGTTCCTAGAGAAGAGATTGGCAAACATTTTTTGTCAAGGGCCAGATAATAAATATTTTAGGGTTTGTAGGCCATACAGTTTCTGTTGCAAGTACTCAGTTCTGCCATTATATGCAAAAGCAGCCATATACGATATATAAACAAAGACCATAGCTGTGTTCCAATAAAACTTCATAATGGCACTGAAAGTTGAACTTCCTATAATTTTTATGTGTCATGAAATATTCTTCTCCTTTTGATTTTTTCCAACCATTTAAAAACGTAAAAACCATTTCCAGCTCATGGGCCTATATGAACAAGTGACCATGGCTTGCCAATGCCTGGTCTAGAGGTAAGAGGATAGTTGTATTATCGAGGGACAGAGAAACAGAAGATAGAGCCCTACCATAGAATAGCTAAGCACCTCTCCGGGCTTCCCAACTCCCCATCTTCAACCCTACGAGAACCCTCACTAATTGATACTTCTCACCATGGATTCTCTGCCTTGTCAAACAGACTTGCCTGCTGCGCCATGTATTTGCTCTTACTTTAACCTGGATACAGGCCCTTCTTATATCATTCCTTTCTGTTGGCATTATTTTTAGATGTTTAGTAATGTTTCTTCCCTTCTGTTCTGACTATTTATTTGGTTTTAACATTTCTACCATCCAAATGGTTGGGCTTGGGCTATCCCCTTTGGAAGTACACTTAAGAATCAAAGATATTGACATTCCTTACTGCTTGCCCCAAATATTGGCAGTCAGTGGGTAACTAATCCCAAGGCAGCTAAGATAAAAAGCTGAGTAGAAGCTCTCTAGTGTGAAATACCTCAAAAGCAGAGCCACAGCCCCTCTCTTCACACTAATGATGCACTTTACCTGAAAGGTGTTTCCCTCAGGATCCAGGACCTCACAGATAATCTCTGATGTGTGCTTCATGATGTACCTGCTAGTTCGCAGCTGCTCACGTTTTTGGAAAGGATGGTATATATCACTGCTTGATTCATGGCAATATATAGCTGAACAGTCCCTATCAATATGAAGACAGCCTGTGTTTGGAGGTAACACCTGAAAGGGTAACAGAAAGAGAGGAATTAAAAAAAATTTCCTGTTCAATTTTGAGGGATTTAGAAAGTCATTTTAAGGGAAAAATTATCCATAGATCTCAGCCACAAACTGTGTTTCCAGGAAGAAAACACGACCCAAGAGAGGACTTAAAGTTTGGGAAGGACTACTTGATAGGGAGGCAAACAATAATTAGGATGTAATTTCTCCTGTGTCCTCATATTTTATCTACTGATTTTAATGTCTCCTCCAAGTAATTACCACGTGCCTTCTTATTTTAGATATTTAATATAAAATAAAAATATATTTTAAATGAAGGAAACACACTTGGCCCCATTCAAAATGTTTGGAATCCTTTATGTTCTTGGGCAAGAAGCATCTTCAAGAGGGTCAAAAGCTGTGGAGGTGGGAAGGACGAGAGAGTGAGAATGAGGGTAGAGTGGCAGGAGGTGAGGCTGGTCTGGTGAGCACAAGCCAGATCACCTGAATGCTTCTAACACCCACAGTGCCTACTGCCTACCACACAGAGGATCCCCAACAGATACACTCTGCTTTATAATCTTGATCAGAAAATACCAAAGCATTGTAAAACAAGCAGGACAATGTTTTTCTGGAATGGATTGTAAAAAGAAGGTGAATAAATAAAAAGAGATTGAGAAATGGGTGAGATTGACTGAGGGTGTTCTTTTTTTTTTTTTTGGTGAGGAAGATCAGCCCTGAGCTAACATCCATGCTAATCCTCCTCTTTTTGCTGAGGAAGACTGGCCCTGAGCTAACATCTGTTGCCAATCCTCCTCCTTTTTTTTTCCCCCCAAAGCCCCAGTAGGTAGTTGTATGTCATAGCTGCACATCCTTCTAGTTGCTGTATGTGGGACGCGGCCTCAGCATGGCCGGAGAAGCGGTGCGTCGGTGCGCGCCCGGGATCCATACCGGAGCCGCCAGTAGCGGAGCGCGCGCACTTAACCGCTAAGCCACGGGGCCGGCCCTGAGGGTGTTCTAAGATCAGATGAGACAAGAGAGCAACAGCCGTCCACATGGCAGGAATGTTCCCTGCCCCAGAGAGGTGGGTTTTCTTAGTCAAATGGACACTCATCTTTGGCACTCCTCGTTTCCCCCCAGACCTACCTGGTATGTTCCCTGTGGCTTTGCAATAATAGACGTCCCATCCCCAAAGGTGGCACAGCAGCTACTGTCCTCGCAGTTGGTGATGACAGTGGCATAGTGTGAGCTTTCTATCTGCATGCACTTCACCTGCCTGGTGACAGTCCGAGGACCCTCGGCTGCAAGCAGAGACAAGGTAAGCCGATCTGACAGGACGCACACACTGGGAACTGCGCCTGCCTGCTGGTTTGCTCCTGTCTCCTGGCTGCCTGGACCAGGAGTCGAGGCTGAGTGCTGACAACTCACTCCACAGAGCTGGAGTGTGGTCTACTCTCCCTGTCAATGCAGAGTAATCTTCCAGAATAACTCTTCTTAATTTAGTGTGCTGTTTTTTCTCACTACTTTTTTTATTTTGAGAAATTGAAATCATCCAGAAAGCATAAAATATAATTTAACTGCTCATATACTCACCAATTTACACTTGTTAATATTTTGCCATATTTGCTTCCACATTTTTCATATGTATATAGGAGAAAAATAGATAAGTCGAGGTTCACTTTTCTCCTTATCTCTGAGTTTATTCACTTCTCTAGCAATCCATTTTTATAATTTTATATAAATATGTGTATTAAAAAATGTCTAATATTTTGTGTGCTTTAAATTTGCATAAGTTGTGTATTACTCCATGTATCATTCTTTTTAACTTAACATTGTTCTGAGCTCTTTAGCCATCTTGATATATATGTGTGTGTATATATGCATATGTGTGTGTACTTCATTCCTTTTAACTGCTGTACAGGCATACATTGTTTTATTGTGCTTTGCTTTATTGCACTTCACAGATAATGTGTTTTTTATAAGACTCACCACCAGCAAAAAGATTATGCCTTGCTGAAGGCTCAGATGATGGTTAGCATATTTTAGCAATAAAGTATATTTTAATTAAGGTATGTACATTGTTTTTTTAGACATAATGCTATTGCACACTTAATAGACTACAGTATAGTGAAACATAACATTTATATTCACTGGGAAACCAAAAAATTTGTGTGACTCACTTTATTGCGCTATTTGCTTTATTGCCGTAATCTGGAACCAAACCCGCAATATCTCTGAGGTGTAGTATTCCTTTGTAGGAATATACCACATTTATTTTTCTATTCTGCTGTTTCTGCTGTTGATGGACATTTATGTTTTCCCAATATTTTAATATTATACTCAGTGTTGCAAGTAGCACCTGTGCACCTGTTTCCTTGTGCAAATGTGTAAGAGTGTCTTTCTATAAATACCCAGAAGTAAGTAGTGCCTCACATGAAATGCGCATTTCAATTTACTAGATATTGTTAAATTGCTCTCCCGGTGGCTTTTTAAATTTTCATTCTGACTAGTAGGGTATGAAGGTTCCCCTTTTTCCACTCACTTGGCAATTCATTTGCACCTAATTTGACAATGAAGCATTTAATGCATCAAACTCTGGAATTAAAGAAAAGGTAGTCAGGGAGTGATTTTTCTTTAAAAATCTTGTTTAAATTTAGGTTAGGAAGGGTGGTAGGCTTTTAGATTCTTTGAACAGGTTCCAGTTAATTAGCAGCTGCAGCTTGCTTTTCTCGCACACCACCTTTCTGACGATGCGAGGCATGCTCCGAATTATGAATTGAAGGAAGACCTCTCTGAGGTCACCTTTTTATGCAAATAAGATTCCTTAAGGATCAAAGGAAACAGGTTTGAGAGCTAACATCCAGGACAGTTGAGTCATGATCATTAACTTTTAGTTGCCGCCAATCCAGACGGTAGGTTTTTAGTGATGAAAATGGAAAAGGCACTATTACTATCCATCAGCCAACTAGAGCTGTTATTACTCCCATGTATGTGGAGGATAAAGATCCTAATAAAAGGGCCTCATAGGCCCTGCTTTGCTCTGCACAAGTGTTCTCTGGTTGAGTGAGTCATTAAAAAATTATTTTTCTTACGTATGTTCAAAAATAAGTGAGGTTTCTACTTATTTTAAAGACTTAACAATATTGTCACATGTTTGAAAAATAAAACTTACTTGTTCCTTGATCATCTGGAGGAATAATATGATCTTCATAAACTTGATAAAACGTTGTGATTCTGGTACCATCAGCATGATCCACGATCCGAGTACCATCCTTCTTTTCAACAATGACCACTTTGTCCTCTCGAGTTGTCATAACCTGAACATACAAAGGCAGAGCACGGTCATTTGGTCATAAGGGGCGTTTATTTTTATGCCCCATTGAATACCATTAACACCCTGGTTATTTACTTCTAAATGAAAGATTTACTCCTCTACTTGATCTATCTAACCTTTACAACAATCCAGGGAGGCAGACAATGACATCCCCATTTTATAGAGGAGGAACTTTGCACTTAGAGAAGTTCAGGAACTTGCTCGTCACTCAGCAAGTGCCAGGGCTGGCATTGGACTAAGGCTGTCTGACTTCAAAACTGATGCTCCTTCCATCGTCGCATATTTGTGAGCAAAAAGTTAAGATCAGGACTGGCCTGACCCAGGTCTGTCCAGGAAAATGACCCCAGGTTCTGCTTCCTTGCAAACTACAGGTTTAAGATAAGCATGGCATGCTGAGGCTGCCTTGCATGTGATACGAGTTGGCTTGCAGATCTCGGCCTAATGTCATCCAAACAGAACATGAAGATTGGTGGGGAAGAGAGGCTGTGGCTTCTCTGTGTCTAGTTGATCCGCGCATTCATATGCCCCTGTCCGCGGCTGCCATACATGCCCCATATGGGCTTAAGGGGAAAAAGAAGCTGTGCCTCTGGGTTGTTGCTGGGCCTCCCAGTTGGGTGAGGATGCTGCACTGATCATGCTGTATTTCCTGTCTTGTGTCCTTCCCTAAAGCTGAGTAGATGCAGTTGTAGATTAAAGCCTGTTGTGTTCTGTTAGTTTGATTGTTAATTTTAACCTGTAATCTCTTCTGTTCTGGTAGGGAGTATTACTGTGGAAAATGGATAGAAGGTCTAAGAAGGAAAATAGCTGTATTACCCAAGACAGGAAGCCAAAGGGTGGTCACTTTGTCAACCTAGTATATTCCAGGTTTATTCCAATGCAATCCAACTGAATGCAGATTTACAGGGTGCTGTGTGTTTTGAACTGTGATATGTGCTGGGGTGATGATGAATGAGTCTGGAGTTTAAATCCCTATCCTCTAGGAGTTACAGACCAGAGGGAGGACAGTCATTAAAGAAGTTGTTAAAGGAGCCATTCGAGCGACTGTAGTGAGGGATCTGACACGGTCTGGCTCCCCTCTGAGGGAGCAGTGCCCGAACCTGGATTTTGTGTGTCAGTGCAGAGGAGCAGCAGGGGTGAAAGGTGTGCCAGACACAAAGGGTCCCTGGGAGCAGTGGGGAGAGTGGTGGGAGACAAGGCTAGAGCAAGGGACCAAACTGAGGACGGCTTTAAGCCCTATTAAGGAATTCCACCTTTATCCCATGGGGGGCAAAGTAGTACTGAAGGGTTTTAAGTATGTGGACTAGAGTAGGAATCACAGAAAAACTCAGTCATGGCAGGTGCTTCAATCTGAAAGAACAATCAGGCCCTTAAATACTGTGGGTAAGTGGTTGACCAGTGAAGCTCTAAACCCCCAGATGTGCGTGTGTGTATCGATGTGGCAGACATGGAGATGCAAGGCCCAGATCACCCTTTACAAAAGGACTTGCTCTCCAGCTGTGGGGAGGACAGTCAGCAAATAGCCTCCAGCTCTCAGCTCTTCCGCGTCTGCCTCAGCAGCGCAGAGATGCTTTGCCTGCCTCACATCGTCCCAGGGCAGCGGCGTCCAGTGACGGAGTGAGGCAGGGGTATACCGATCTGGTTCCTGCTACCAGACTTGGGACGCTGGGACAGGTGATACTGGCTCCTGAGCACTTGCTGTTGACCGAGGCTTTGTCGGGTCTGTACCACAGCTCAGCTTCTACCTCTGCCCATTCATGCTTCTTCCCCCTTCCTTTCACAGATGGTGTCCCAATAAATATCTTGCACTCCAAACTCCATGTCAGGGTTTGCTTCTGGAAAGTCTAACCAGCAACAATAGTATTGCACATTATATAATACATATGTTAATTATTGAATATTTTCTAACTTGTACTGTCCTAACTATAAGGGACACAAGGTTTCACTGAAGAGTCCAGGTCACTGTAAGAGTGAGTTTGCCAGCTATTTTTTGACTCAAATGTCTAGGGCTATTGGGAGCAGGTGATAATCACCTTATCGTCTCTTTACAGTAGGCAGGAATCACTGTATTTAAGAGAGAAATGCATGCTGATCATTATTTTAGGTTCTTATCATTGCCACACTCAGTCAGGTGTGTATAATGAGAAATACTGCTGTAGAATGTCCCAGCTGAGAGTGTGAGCTCTGGAGTTAAGCTGCCTGAGTTCAAATCCTGGCTCCACTGATGGCTGGGTAACTTAGGCAAGTTGCCTAACCCCTCTGTGCTCTAGTTTCCTCATCTGCAAAATGGAGCCAACACTAGTTTCTCCTTCAGGGATGTTATGTGGATTAAATGAGATGATGCTGGTAAAATGCTTAATACTTGGTCATCAAGTTAGCAATGATTAATACTAGCTCTTTATCTAGTATAGATATTTACATTTTATTATTTAGAATTATTCAAACATTTCATAACACCACAAAACATTGACATTTTCTGGTCACCATAGAGTGGGATAATCATTATTCTTAGTGGTGGTAAGAACACAATAGAAAGAATATTTACTGAACACCTGATAGTGTCGGATCTGGTGTTAATCTTCCCAACTATTTCAGGTAATGACTATTATCTCCATTTTAAGAATAAGGAAACCCATATTAGAAACTTGTCCAAAATCGTACGTCTAGTAAGGAATGTGGCTGGGGTTCAAAACCAGGTCTGCCTCACCACGAGGCCAGTGCCCTACTCTCTAAAATGTGATACTTCATGTCGGGTGGTGTGGAAAAAAATGTTTATTTTCAATTTTGTTTCATATAATCATGCAGTTTTTTGGCTCTTATATGTGTAGTGGTTAAGCACGTGGGATCTGGAATGCAACCTTGGGGGCCACATTCTGACTCTACCACTTGCTGTGTTATCTTGGGAAAATTATCTCAGTAGCTTAGTTGCCTCATCTGTAAAACAGCAACAACAATAGTTTGTTGTGGGAATTAAACAATTAAGTATGTGGAAAGTCAGTATGATAACAGGGCCTGCCTGGCACACAGCGAGTGCTCAGTAACTATTATTATCATTATTGTTATTACTATTCTGTTAGGTGTCTGATGTTTAATTCATGCTAATCAAGGCTCTTGGATGTTGGCTCATGCTTCCAGAATGGTGATAGGTATTAATAAGAGAAACTGAGAGTTATTAACTAAGAAATATTAGTCAAATTTGCATATTAAGCCAAATAACCTATATCAGGGGCTGAATTAAAGCGAGTTATTTGAAGCGACAAAAAAGGCTTCCTGAGATGATATGTACTTTGAGTCTTGCAAAAAAGACAACCGGCAAACAATGTAAGAGATTACAAAATTGTTTCAGAAGTAGACTGAAGAAGAAAGGAAAACACTTTTCATTAGATAATGTAATTCATCTCAATAGCAAGCAGACATTTTGCTTTTGACCAGCAGTATATGGTTGTCAATAAGGGTAGGAAGTCCAGAAACCAGAGATAAGACACCTAGGAAATTCTTCGTCTTGCTTAGATTCAGAAGGAGCTGCAAAGCTCTGCAGAAGGTGTTAGAGGACTAGCTGAGGAGTGGAAAGAGCCCAGTTTTCGGTCACCGACAACGGGTTCTGATCCTGACTCCAGCACTTCCTGGATGTGTACCCTTGACCACATTACTTATCTTGCTGAGGCCCCATTTCCTCATCTGTGTAATATATTCACTGATGTGAGGACTGAATGAGATAACGTACGCAGAACCCCTAACAGAAAGCCTGACCCGTAGAAGATACTATTGTTCATCCCAGGAGTTTCAATTTCACATCATAAACAAAACCGTTATTTTCTATACTACTCATTTGTCACTTATTCTTAGACTACAAACAAATTATTTTGTATAGCTGCTCTGTGGTGTTGAATTCTTGACTTATTTAATGTGAGCCTCTCCTTAAATACACTGTGAGTTCTTTGAAGTCAAGGATCATGAACAAATTTCTATCACTCACTTCAGGTGCACACAAAGAAGTAGGAAGAAGGCATGGCCCTTCACTTCTAGAAGATAAGACATATGGACAAATACATTCATCATCAAGAAATATATGACACAATTAATCTTACATGTCTTCAAAGTGGTATAGAAAATTCATAATCTGTCTCTCATTTCAAAATTAGTATTTCATGATACACTCTGCTGGTCAAATAAACCACACAATGTTTTTATATTTGGGACAATGGGTCCATCCATTCTTCCATCCATCCATCCATCCATCCATCCATCCACTACTTAACAAAAAGTTATAGAAAATTTATTATTTTCCAGGTACTCTTCTATGCATTATTTCAGAACTCTAATGATTTAAAAATTTTAATTTTGCAATATACAATAGTTTGCCATACCGTTCCATTGACAGGATCTGTGGCCTGAAAGGATAAAAATGGGGCCAAGTCTGCCATTCTTTCTAATCCTTTGGTGCCAATCTGATATCCTTCAGGTGTAGTTGTAAACCAGGTGCCTACATGAACCTCCACAGGAGTGACCGTTTGAACTACCTCTGGGGGAGGTTCCTGGATTTCATTCTTATGTGCCATTGCTGACTGACTTTTGTGACCTTTTCCTGTGGAAGTTCAAGTAAAATCAAACAAAACAGTATAATTATAATATCAATTACATAAATTATTCATTAAATTTGACACAGAGTAAGCTACCTCAGACACTGTGGCATAGAAATTCTAAGTAGTATTCATCAATTATATTATTTCTCAAGAGGCAAAAGTATCAGGTTATGAATATCTTAATCTTGGCACTTGAACTTTGGCTAGATTCCCACCACCTCCCCCCAAACATACAAATGCATACACAGCTCACTCTCTATGGCACAATACCTATTCTGGTCAATTTCTGTACACTATTCAGTCTTGCTTATATATCCCTGGATTCCAGATTTTGGGTTCCGTACCCTGGTTTTTAAAGCCTACCTTTTCTCCCATATATTTGTCAAACTTTCAGACTCCTTCTTTTGACTTACTGGACTCTAGCATGCTAGATTTTTAACTCTTCATTCCTATGATTTTGTCATTTTTGTCAGTCATAGATAAGAAACATCTTTCTTAAGCTCTGAATCTGGAGAACCTTAACAATCAGGCATATCCTTGGCCTCTCACTGAAGGAGAGGATTTTCACAGTTTAATTACTACATTGATAATCATCTGATACATACTCCCTCCCTATCCCTCCCCACTACCATCCATTTGGAACAGAAAGTTAGAACTGAAGAAAATCTCATGGAATTCTGTGAATAATACCTCATTTCCCCTATCAGGATAGATTTACTCCCTTTGTATGAATAATAATGAGTAATCTGTAGATGATATTTGCCTGTGTTATCAACCCTCAATGATGAAGTAAACTCAGACCCAGAAACAAACTACAAGCAAAGATAGTAAAGGATTGTTAACTCCAGGAAGATTCTTCAGATTCAGACCATGAAGTGTGCATCAGGGCATGGATCTTGGCCTAAGATGCAGACTCAACTAAGGGAGGGAACCAAGGAAGACAGACACATCAAGCTAAGCCTTTCCATTGTCCCTGAGATTTAATTTGGACTTACTTATATTTCCAGAGAATTAAAAAAGAAATAAAAGATAGATTTTAAAAAATTATTTAGAATGAAACTCAGAGAGCCAAAGTGAAAGAAATAATGAAAGAGGAGTAAAAGGTTTCTAATATATGCTCAATTGGAATTTCAGATGAAGAAGAGAAAGAAATGGATGAGAAACAATATTTGAAAAGATAATTATTGAGAACTTTCCAAAATCAATGAAAGATACTAATCTAAAGATTCAAGAAACCCAATGTGTTCTCACGTGGATAAATAAAATGAAATCTACAACTAGTTAAATCATATTGAAATTATAATAAGAAAAGAAAATATTTAAGGGCAATAAGATTGCCTTTCACAGCAACAACAATTAGACCGACAGCCCATTTTACAACAGCAACTTTGGAAGCAAGAAGAATATGGAGAATTTTTGTCAATGTACTGATAGAAAATACCTGTCAATCTAGAATTTTATACCCAGTAAAATTATCTTTTAAGAATAAGGACCACATAAAGACATTTTCAGAAAATATCTGTTAAACAATAAATAGACTAAAATCTCCAGTTAAAAAACAAAAATTGTCAAATTGAATTTTTAAAATATCCACCTATACATTGCTCACAAGAGACGCATTTAAACATAAACCACAGGAAGTAATATAAAGTGTGGAAAAAGTTATACTTTAAAAGTATTAAAGTATAGCTAGTGTAGCTATAATAATAAAAGCAAAAGAGACATTAGGGCAAAAAAGAATCCTTGAATAGAAAGTCAATACACACTGATAAAAAGTTAAGCTCACCATGAAGATATAACTACTCTAAATTTGTATCTAAAATCATATCCTCAAAATATAAAAGAAAACCTGACAGAACTATAAAAAGATATAATTATTTCAAAAATACAGAAATAAAGATTAAATTATAAGGAGCACAGCACTGAATAGACTATTCTACTCTTTCAGGAAATTTAAACATACTTCTGCTGAATAAATTGATATAGGTGATTAAAAAACCCATAAGGACATAGAATAGGAGTTGGCAAATTTTGACCTGTGGGGTAAATATGGCTTACTGTCTGTTTTTGTATAGTCTGTGAAGTAATAATTCTTTTTACATTTATACAAAATTAAGAAAATCAAAAGAATAATATTTTGTGACACATGAAAATTATATTAAATTCAAATTTTAGTGTCAATAAATAAGTTTTATTGGAACACAATACAGCATGCTCATTTGAATAAGTATTGTCTATGGGTACTTTTATGCTACATTGGCAGAGTTGAGTAGTTGTGACAGAGACCACATGGCCCACAAATTCTAAAATATTTACTATCTTGCCCTTTACTGAAAAGTTTGCTGAACTTGGATACATACTGGACAACACAAATAACAAGTTTGATCTCATAGATATAAAGAGAATATTGTACTTGATAACTTCAGGACATGCCCTTTTCAATCACACACAGAATTTTTAAACACTTGATCATAGGTGAGGCTATATATCATGTTTCAAAAAATTTCAAAAGGTTAGTTTAAAATCAATTATTTAAAAAACCCATGGAAATACTTCATAGGTTTGGAAATTTAGAAACAAGTTTAAATAACTTCTAGGTCAAAAAAGAAGTCATAATGGAAATTAGAAAATATTTAGAACTGAAAAATAGCGAAAATACTACATATTATATCTTATGGGATGGGAGCAGCACTTCTGGAGTGACAAGTAAGGACCTTTGAAAAGCCACTCCTCCATCAAAACAATGAGAACATTGGAAAAAAGGATCAAAATCAACTTTTTAAGAACTCTGGAAATAAACCAAAGAATTGCAACAATCTGAGAAACAATTCAAGAAAACAGCTGAATGTCAGCAAGAGCAACTGCCTCGTGGTGTTATAACTTGCCCTATTCCCAGCCTCCAGCCTCCCCCATCTCCAGCTCCACAGTAGCCTTGAAAAACCGTAGCCTCAGAATCACAGTAGCTATAAAAACCAGCAGTCTAGCAGCCACTGGAGGGGGCAGATGGGCTCAGAATTCTCCCTAAAAACTCGAATTCCAGAGAATTGCCATTGACTTGTCTGAAAACTCCCTAGAAATCCCCACCCTCACCTGAGTCAGAACTCACTCACTGTAAACAGTCTTTTTCTGGGGCTCTTGTTGAAACAACCAGCAGCAATTGTTTACAATGTGGCTGCCTGAGGAAATAATAACAGGGCAAACAAGATGCTGATTGAAAATTTTAAAAAGAAAAACTAGAGGGGCTGGCCCAGGGATGTAGTGGTTGGGTTTGCGTGGTCTGCTTCCATAGCCCAGGGTTCACAGGTTCAGATCCTGGGCACGGACATACGCACCGCTTATCAAGCCATGCTGTGGCAGGTGTCCCACTTACAAAATGGAGGAAGATGGGCACAGATGTTAGCCGGGGCTAATCTTCCTCAGCAAAAAGAGGAAGATTGGTAATGAATGTTAGCTCAGGGCCAATCTTCCTCACCAAAAAAAAAAAGAAAATATAAAAGGAAAAACTAGAGAATGAGATGTCCATAGGGGACTTTGAAAAACTCTATTTGCCTGGGAATCTAGAAGGCTGCATGCACATTCAGGACTGTACTCATGCCCAGGAAACACCTGAGAAATACTGAATCTCTCACCTCTGGCTGACTTTGAGGCTAAAGCTAGGGTCTAAACTGCAAGAGTGATGAAGGCATGCCCCATTAAACACACAAAGCCCCTTGGCAAAGGCTGGAAGAATTTGGTTTGAGGCATCTAAGGAAATCCCGGTCCAATCACTAGCTGACCACTAAACTAACTGAGCAGAGACTTCAGTGGCCACAAGGACCAAGGAAACAGACTTCCCAGAATAAGTTCAGGAAAGTCACTAACCAAACAGCAACAACAGCAAACACTGAGGGGATCTTATTTCCAGAGTTGCCACAAAATAAAAAAGATGAGAATAAACATGTTCAACAAGATTTCAGGATACAAGCTCAATACACACACACACACACACAAAAATCAATTGTATTGGTAAATACTATCAAAACAATCCAAAAATAAAATTAAGAAAACATTTACATTTATAATAACATCAAGAAAAATAAAATCCTGAAGAAAAATTTAGTAAAACAAGTAAAACAATTATACACTGAAAACTACAAAATAGCATTGAACAAAATTAAAGAAGATGTAAATAAATGGAAAGACATCCCATGTTCATGAAGTGGGAGACAATATTGTTAAGATGGCAACACTCTCAAAATTTATCTACATGTTCAATGAAAGCTCTATAAAAATCCCAGCTGCTTCTTTTGCAGAAATTGACAACTTGACCCTAACATTCATACAGATATGCAAGGGACCCAGAAGAGTCAAAATAATATTAAAAAAGTAAAATAAATGTGGATGACTCACACTTTTCAATTTCAAACGTACTGCAAAGCTATAGTAATCAGGACAGTGAGCTGTTGGCATAAGGATAGACATATAGAAGAGTGGAGTCGAAATGAGAGTCAAAAATAAACTCTTACATTTATGGCCAGTTGCATTTTGACTGGGGTGCCAACCAATTCAATGGGGGAAAGAATTGTCTTTTTAACAAATGGAAAAGAATGAATTTGGACCTCTATTTCACACTATATATAAAAATTAAATAAAAATGGATAAAAAAATCCCAAATGCAAGAGCTAAAACCATAAAACTCTTAGAAGAAAACACAAGAATAAATTTTGTGACATTGGATTATGCAATGGTTTCTTAGATATCATACCAAAAGTATAAACAATCGAAGGGAAAAAAAA